CTGTTCTTGCCAGTTTACCATTACTCCTTCTGGTATTAACCATCTAAAATTTATCCCTTTTTCAATTAAGACTTTTGTCAAAAATTGATACTCCTTTCTCAAATCTCTCACTCTTCTTGGAATCTGCTTTAATATCACTATCTCTCTTCCTTTATATTTTATTGTGACATTTCTCAGTTTCTGTAATATATCTGCCCTTTCTTAGTAAACCTTATATGGACCTCTCTGGGAAGCTTATTTCTTGTTGCATATCTAGTATGTATTCTAAATATCTCATCTATATCATTAATTATCTTTTCCTTGGTTTCCTCCAGTTCTTCTGCTAATATTTCCGCCATCACATCTGCTAAATTCTCTCCCTTTTCTTCTTCAACATTTTGGAATCTTAAGTAATAATCAGCTCTATATTTCATTAAAAGTATCTTATATATATATAAAAAAATAAAATAAATAAATAAATAAATGTGAGTCAGTTGTCAAGCATCCAAATGTAAATCACGTGAACATGGAGATGTTGCAATGGTCATAAATGTGAAAAATGGTCATGTCACTTTTTTTAGTGCCGTTTTAACTTCGAATGGTCACTAAATGAACTGTTGTAAGTTGATGACTACCTGTGGTGATTGCTTTGCTTAACAACTGAATTGTTGGTCCCAATTGCAGTTGGTAAGCAAGGACTATCTGTATCTGCAATATTGGAAAAAATCCTTTACATTTGTTTTATTTAAAGCTATTGTTATTTTGATTGCTGAAGACTCTTGTCAATTTTTACTAACAGTACATGGACATAGACAGCCAGTTTGGTCTAGTCTAGTGGGTTAAAGAAATAGGCCAGAAACCAGGAATCTGTGAATTCTACTTCCACCTTAGCCATGAAAAACAGGCTGAGTGATCCTGGGCCACTCACTGTCTCTCAGCCCAACCCATCTCATATACTTGTGGGGAAAATAGGAGGAAGAAAGAGGATTCAATTTGTTTGCTGCCTTGAGTTATTTACAAAAAAATAAAAAAAATAAAGACAGGATATAAATTAAACCAATAAATAGAATTCCATATATTGAATTCTATGAGGAATGGACTATCAAAATAATTAATAAATTGCATTATAGTCTGCTAAAGTTGCAGTGTTTTATCATTGGTTTTATTTTTACTTTCTTTTTCTTTCCCCCCAAAAGGGGAAAAATATATATAATTGAATGAGTAAATGCTTTGTAACAATCTTAGACTGGAATATAAGTAAACATACATAGCTATAATACTGATAAAACAGTAGCAATATCAGAAATAAAATTCACAGAAACCAATTCACTAAAAAGAGAAACTAAGAACAATGGTCAGTGAACCTTCTCAAATATCTCAGTTAGAAAGGGGCAGGCATCATATAGAAAGAATGATCTCTCAGTAGTGTCTATTATTCATAGTGTTAATGACTGTAACCTCTAATCATCATAAAAGTATAACTGTTTATGCCATGATCACGTGTTTTCCATACATCCTCATGTTACAGAGGAAAAGAGGTAATTGAATTTAACCCCATGAATGTAAAAATTTCAGAAACCCATATGGAACATCATACCTGGCAGGAATCCTTTCCATCATTTGGATAACCTGCGCAAATCATATCATCCTTGATAGCATCCTCGCCAAGGCCCATAACTGGAAAGTCATTGTAGATCCCGTTGCAGTCATTCTGGTTTATGAGAGACACTTTCACTTCCTGGAGGGTTAGTGGAGGTGGCAAAGGTACTGTGGGAGAGAGGAAGGGGTTACAGTAATGAACAAAAAAGCATTTTGGAATCATCATCATTGGACATGTGTCATTTTAGTAATGTATGTACCATATAAATAGATACAGCAGGATTTGTGTATCTGTACAAAATTGTTCCTTAGACAAGACGGGACTACTTTTGCTCAGCAGATTATGGTAAAGAAATTTGCATTGCATTTTTTTTGAGAACCCAAGCATGTAATGATTGGGTTCCCATTGTTCTATGCCATCATGATCTTTGTTAATTTCTGGTTTAATGCTATTGGTAAACCTACTCAATACAGTTTATAGATCATGAACTGTGACTTACTATTATAGTTATTGTATCTTTCCCAGGATTGCATCTGGGAAGAGACAAAACATCATAATATAAAATAATACCCACAAATTACTTGTGCAACAAGTTGGGATGCAAATATGTAAGGGTGGCATTTGAGTTATGATGTCACCATACACATTGACATGAATGTCTGTGGTCGTACCACAAAAATGTGGTGATACGTACTATTTTTTTACAAAATGTTTCATATTTGAAAAACAACAAATGTGCATGAAGTATCCAATATGATTAACATTTCTATTTTAGCAACTCATTCTAATTCTGGGCTATATAAGCAAAATATTTTGTTTGAGGGACATCTTGGGACATCTATGACCTACCAATTCACACTCACAGAGAGTGTGACCAATTCACAGTGACCAATTCACTGTGACCAATTCACAGTGATTCACAGAGAGAAATGATGATTTAAAGAGGTTAAACCCTGACCAAAATGAAAAAGAATTAGAAAGAAAGAAAAAGTATACTTCTGTTCCCTATTGTTATTGAGTTTATTTCTCATATTTTTAAATGATTTATTTCAAGCTAGTATTATGCTAATCAGACTGCAGATTCCTTTTATGTGCCTCACCTCCATATTTAATTGTTCCCCATCCAGTGATCCAGCAATCTGCTTCCACAGAGAAATTTTCAGATGTCGGCAAACAGATGGGCATAATGGAACTGGTGAATTTCACTGGCGTTTTCAGTTGAATTAAAGCAATATCTCCAAGGGAGGCAGCCTTCCCATTGAAGTCTGGGTGGAGGACAATTTTTTTCACCATCGCAAATACTGCATCATGTGAGAGATTGAAGAGCTGATGGGTGCCCAGCAGTGCCATATATATAAAACCAGGTGGACTACTATAAACACAAAAGCAAGACTAATACTTATATTTCTGGAATGGTTCCTTGACTAAGCTTAAGTTGGCTTGGTCTATATAGCATGATACATCATAAATCATGGATTGAAAATGATTATTTCTGGGTTCTTACATCATGGTAAATCTAAGCAAACCATGGTTTAATATTAAATGCAAATTTCAACTTTGTGGAGGTAGGTCATAATGGTGTACTTGTTAAATTAAAGATATATAATGTTGACATGTAAAAACAAATATCAGCTACTTTTATTTGAGTCTTGATTCATGATTTTAAAATACCTTAGACCAAACAAAGATTTGGCTACTTCAGAACTTATGGTAGTCTTTCCCCTCCTATTCTGTGCTCTCCAAAATGTCCTTGCTTATCTCAGAGGAGATTCCTGATATAACATGGATGGCCAAGAAAGCAAAGAAATGGATCATCAACTCAGAGTTCTCACTCAAGGCACAAATGCCCAGGCACAAATAATCATACTTTAGACACAGTTTGTTTTATGCGAGATGGTTATTTTTGATTTATTGTTTGTTTACTACTGTATGCCCAGGACCCATATTGTTTGAGCTGAGTATTCCTATAAATCATTAGGACAAGAGAAGATCCTCCCAAAATGGCTACCACAAAAGGGCTTCCTTCTTCATAAGAGAATAACAGAGTTGGAAGGGGACTTGGAGGTCTTCTAGTCCAATCCCCTGCTTAAGCAGGAGACACCATACCATTTCAGACAAATGATTGTCCAATTTCTTCTTAAAAGCCTCCAGTGTCGGAGCACCCACAACTTCTGGAGGCAAGTAATTCCACTGATTTATTGTTCTCACTGTCAGGAAATTTCTCCACCCCCACCCACCCACTCCACCCTTGCTCTGCCCACCTGCCACCCACTCACAGGGCCACCCACCGCCTCCACGGCCCACTGCAGATTGTCCAGGCAGCCCTGCAATGCCATGGAGGCCACACCCTCTGCCTGTGCCCTGGAGCATCATCTGTGCACGACAGGGCATGAGGGATGAGTCTTGTCCCTGCTGCCTGGCTGCCATGTCTGTTCTGTTTCAGGAAAAGAGGCATTGAGATGAAGCAACGAGTTCTAACAGTTCTCCTTTATTGCAACACCAACAGAACAGATTTTAAAATGGTGCGGCCCCCTTTTATAGCCCCCCTGCACAATACCTTGCTGACCAATCATTGCAAAGGCTGGGAGCAGCCTTTCTTGTCCCGGGCATCCACATGGTCTGCCCGGGCCAATCGCTGCAGCCTGTGCCTGCTGGCCCAGGACATAACACCCCTCCCCCCTTGGCTAAAATAATAAGGCACACTTATTATTTTAAATACTCCAACACTCCATTACATTGCTTACGTTGCATCTATATATACACA